TCGCGCTCGTCACCAGCTTCGCGTTCGAAGGGGCGTGTGGCCGGCTTCTTCTGCATCGGGGCCCCTGGAGGTGGGGTGGGCCTTTCTTCTTGCGCCTTCTGCTTGCCGCTCCACTCCACCGGACTGGCGTCGCCTGCGTCGCCGTCGACTCCTGGACGGCTGCTGGCCTGTGCGTGTCTGCCCGCCACCAGAAGTGCTTCGCTGGCCAAGCTGACCTCACTGCTGGCCAGGACGGTCTGCCGGTCAGTTTGGCCTGCGCTGCCAATGCTGGGCGACCCGCCCGCGAGTTACCTAAGTGTGGAACTACCCAGCGCCGAGCCGGCTGGATGACGTCACACCACGGCCAGTGCCGGCGCGGCGGCAGACTGGCCGAGATTGGCATGGTCTTAACTTGGCGAAGAGGCATCGGACGCCAAACTTCTGCTGCAGCTATTAATCACATTTCATGCGTTTCTTCCATGTGTATGAGCTATCAAGTCCTTCGAATACCTAATGTGTAGGTGAGCGTACCTGCATTTAGCAGTGTGTGCTATGCTATGTGGATGGGCACATCCGACAGTCGACACACTGCGCAATGGATTCCGATATTGCTTGGCTGATTCTGGCTTTGTGTCTTCGAACGAACCATTGAAAGGGAGGACGTCATTTTTAAAGGTTGTTAGGTGCACTCAAACGTTTTAAGATAAGCTGATTGAATTTCTGGCGAGGGTTGGTGGAACGCTCTGTTTACAAATGAGTATCTACCTACCTAGTACCTACCTGCAGTGGCAAATAACTGGGTCGCGGTCAGTTAGGCATGATTCACGAAGTCCCTTATCTTTTATTAGACTTATTAAGCCCAATGTGCAACATTTGCGTCTTTTCGCGTTGTATCGGGTAGCAAATGAGAAAATCTGCTTCTTCTCCACAGCCCTCAATTCAAGAAACCGTCCTTTTCCTTATCGCATCATTCCAGAACATAATTTTCAAACATGGGTATCTTCCCCACAAAAAAAAAAAAACTGAAGAAGCAGTTTCCTTCGGCTCCAATGCGCCGCTCGCCCAGGGAGACGGAAGTGTTATATTCTCGGCGGTCCAGTCTGCATTCTGCAGCACACTCAAACTTGGCGGACCCCCAGCACACGACTGAACGATTCGTATTGTTGTGAGTGACTGTGACAATTCACTGGTGGTTTCGGAATAATCAACAGGCGGCGCAGCCCAGTGCCTCTTACAATGAATTACAGTGGCGAATGCACTATTGCAGAGAAGAAATGGATTGAGCAGATGCCCAACCTCGCTGTATTATCAACTAAACATTAGGTACGCTTTACATTTTAATCAGGCAATCATGTAAACAAACGACTTGCGAGTTGCGACCCTTCCGCCTTACATAACTCGGCAGAATGCCCCTGAGTCGGCTAAACTACACTGCATCTCTTCAAACCTAAGTATTTTACAATTTGCCACTCAGCTATGCAACAGGCTTATAATTCACTGCTCAAGTCTCAACCCCTTTTTCCCTATCATCTTTTTGGCACCGTCAATCGCCATCTGCGCTGCCCACTATCCAGCAAATAATCCGGCCGTCTCCAGTTCTGTGGCAGGGGCTTCCAAACTCAAGCGAACTCGCCGAAGTTTCGCCATTCAATGCGCGGGATCTGTACAATTGAGTTTGAGAGCCTCTGGGTTGGCTCGGCGCGCCTGCGCCGCGCCGTTGGTCCGGCCAAGTACGCGAGTGACGTCATGCTATAAGCGTCATCCCCCGACCAAAGTCACCAATCAGAGCCCTAGAATCGACTTGTAGTTCCACACTTAGGGAACTCGCGACCCGCCCTCGCAGTGGCTCGCGTTCTCCGCCTCCGACCCATTCGAGGTCACTGTGACCTCGACGCAGCTGCTGCTGGGCTTCCCGCCCCCGCAACGGCTCGTCCTGGACGGCTCGACCGGGTCCCCCGCATGGGGTCACTGAGGTTGGCCTGTGTCGCCATCGGTCCAGTCCTGCTGACTTGAAGACGGCCCGAGCGGTGCAAGTCACCAGGGCCACTGCCCGCGCGCAAACCTGTGCGCACTGCCTTGCCACGCCAGTGTTCAAGGCCCCCGATCGCTCGCGATGCCCGAGCTTGCCGAGCTGAGGTCGGGATGCGGGCGGAGCCTCGCTGCCCGCCGGCTCTGACCGTATCGTGCACACGAACGACGGTGTAGGAGGGCACCCTTGCCCTGTCCTGTCGCGCTACAATCCCTCGATTGTGTGGGCTGCCCTGCCGTAGGGGTACCGTTGAGAGCAGGTGGGTCAGCCACCCTCCGCTGCCACTCACGGCCGCACTCCGCTGCCGGTGTGTCCCCCCGCTGCCAGGGGCCTGCGTGCGCAGTGGGGCCCCCCATTGTCGGGCTGGCAGGCATGCCCACGGCCGTAGTCGCCGGGGCAGGCGGGCGTCCCGCCCATCGCTGACCCCCACGGCTGCACCCGGGACAGAAAGGCGTCCATCCGCCGGCCTCCTCAGACGGACCACGGGGGCGCTCCCGCCCACTCCAGGCCCGCCTGCTGATGAGCGCGTGGGAAGGACCGCCCCGCCTGCTCGTTTGCCTGTGCGCGCCGCGCCGGACAGTCACGGATCAAGTGGTCAGGGCTGTTACAACGGAAACAGCGGCGCCCGTTACCCCGCCTGTTCGCCTTCCGTGGCCCTCGCCGGGGGTTCCTGGCTCCCGTCCCGTGTCCCGTGCGGTACGCGTCCCGCCTTTCCATCGTCTCAATGCGATGAAGGGTGCGCTGCAACTCTCCAATCACCCTCTCCAGAGCGTCAAGCCGAGCGGTGTCGGGCGCGTCCCGGTCCCGGACCGCCAATACCTCGCCCCGATGGGCCGACGCATGACCCGGAGTGCGTCCTGCTGCTGCTGGAATTTATCCGCGATCCTCATGGCTTCGGTGAGGCTGGACGGGTCTTTTCTAAGCACCCGCGTCTGCAGCTCTTCCTCATGGAGGCCGCACACGAAGCGGCTGACGACGGTCGCGCCACGGCCGGGTCGCCGGCTTCCGCTCCTGGGTACGCCTCTGGCCTACCTGACGCACCCTGTCGGCGAAGTCGCGCGTTGCTTCACCGGGCTGCTGCCGGATACTCGCCAGCTCGGCGTGCGCCTGTATCGCCTTCTTCGCTGTGCCGAAACGGGCTTCCAATGCGGCCACAGTTTGCTGGAGGTTGCCTTGAATATCCTCCGACAGCGAGGCGAAGTAGTCCAGGGCGCCATCTTGAAGCAGGTGACCAGGCCCCGCTGCCGATCTCCTCCGAGAACGTGACCGTCTTCGCCCGGAACCGCCGGTACCACTGACCCCATGATGATTATTTACCCCCGTGAAATTTTCAAAGTTAGCTAAAAATAAAGTTCTTTCTCCATGTTGCGTTACTCTACTGAGCCGATTCAAAATAAAATAAAGTAAAAATTTACTTTAAATGGTGCAACCCAACGAATGCGTGCCCGCTAGTGTCCGACGAACCGTCCTACCGACCGCGCCAGTTGTTCGGAAACGCATTCTGGGTAAACACCACGGCTCAGTTAACTAATGTATTAATCTATGTACATCGGCTCATTACACGCTAATACACTGACTGCCCATCAGGCCGGACCAACTCTCCGCCAGCTCATCCCTGAGCTCCCTTGGCGAGCCAACCGCTCAGCCCCGAGCCCCTCTCGCCGAGCAACCCGCTCAGCGCCTGCCGCCGCCGGCGATGCGCCGCATTATATAGGGGGGCTGGGCGCCGCCGACCAATCAGCGGCCGCCACGTCACCTACGTCACTGGCCGGCCGAGACTGCAGGCTGCAGCGCCGGCGCACGCTGCCGGCGGCCGATACGAACGGCCGCCGCTCCCCAACACCAATTGCGTCCTCCATGATTCACTCACACTCTTAAGCTCAGGCTACACTATCAGCTTTTTTTCGGTTTCTGCGTGATTTCGGTTTCCGCGTTTTTACGGTTTCTGCGTTTTTTCGTTCCGGACGGCCGCCGCGTGGATGGTGTGTTTATAGCATAGTGATGGATAAGTGATCAAATTAATCAATTATTCATGTTAAATATTATCGTGTTTTAACAAATTATAATTAAGTAATTGTTTTAAAGATTTTATAACTAACAAGAATATATTATTGATCATAATCATTTGTCAGATTAATTACAATTATCTTATTTGAAGTAGAATGATGAGTTTTGAAACACATCTTGTCCTTTAATCATGAATTACACCATTTTCATTATTTACATTTGAAACTGTTCCATCGTCACAATATTATTAGCAACAATCACTTCTAATCATTCATCACTAAAACGAAATCCCGCAGAAACCGAAGAAAAGTTCACAGCTCTGAACTTTTTTTCGGTTCCGACTCGTCGGTTTTGCGGGTTTTCGTTCCACGGGACGCCAGACTGGCAGTGTAGCTTGCGGAATGCATTCGCTATGAGGCGAACTTGACGACGCGAACCGAAATCCCGCAGAAACCGAAAAAACGTCGGAATTCATGCTAGTGTAGCTTAGGCTTTAGTAATCACGCGTGCGCACAACGTGCACGGCATGCCCATTGAGCCTGCACGTGTTCTGCACATTGAGCTCTCCGTCCGCACGGGATATTTTCGGCCGACGTCCGACACAGATTGCGCGGGAGTTGTACAAATTGTGCGCCGGACTGAGCAAGAGGCGTGATAATTTCATGGGAACGTGATTTGGCTTAACGATGAGCTTCAGTTATCTAGTTACAGCCGAGGGTACCAAAAGACTGTAGAAGTTGTACGAAGGTTACAGTTTTCGGATTTGACTTAGGAAGATTAGTAGACATAATTAAAGTACTTCAGGTTAAGTAAGCGTGCGGTCAATTCGCATTGAGCCATGTTTGTGCCAGGTTGGTCCTTTCCTGAAGTGTTGCGGTAACATTTTCAATCAGAAGATGGCTATGCCAAAAAGGCACGGGACGAAGTTAATCATGACAAACATGCAATGTGCCGTCTGAAATGGCGCAGCAAAGGCCATGGCGCAGCAGCCTTTGGACTTTTGGACTCTGGAGTAATGTGGGAAAGGGGTCTAACTCGAGATCTCAGGTTAACAATTTTTAAAATAAGGTAGTAAGTTTGACAACTCTTTGCAGCATTCTAAATTGTTTTTTTGAGCGCTTACCGCGTAATGCCTCACAATGAGCGGCGACATTCACCAATTTGGCGATCATTCTGGAAACGCGGAACTGAACAGGGTAGGTTCAGTGAGTAAAATGCGCCCCAATTTCCGCGTGCGGTCCATGGTCCATTTTTTGTTATGCATGTAGAGTAAATATGGCACTGCACCATATATTCATTGCACTAGATTGAAGGAGGAGTGGATTCTTTATTTATTTGACGGTGATACTGGTTAGGTTGGAAAAAGCAATAATTACGATGACATTCCAAGGTGATTGCTAGATCATGTGCTTCTCACTGTTACGGAGTCGAATTGTGAAAAAGCTAGCTGTGATCAAGAAGCCATACTACGTAAAAGTTCAAGTTCCCTCGTGGTGACTTTTTTCCCAGTCTCGATCACGACTGACCAATTTAATCCTTCACGTGTTTCAGCGCACACCAATTTTGACGGGGAGGATGAGCCGGTACCGACTGCTCCCCCGCTGGACATTCTCGACTCCGTGCCCGGATATGAGTCGTTGGGGTTCGACGCTGGTGAGTCACTTCTAATGAGGCGGACAAAATACGAGCTTGGCTGCCATTTCTGGCATCCCAGCGCAGATGTTTGAGATAAGGACGTCACTAAGCTATCTGGCTGTAACAGAGGGTCTCATCACTCACGCTCATTTGCAGTTAATAGGGATATTGCTCAATAGGTTTATATGTTAATTACTTAGGGGCTAATTATAAAAGTAAATGCAAATTTACAGTTAATGATTTAATGTATTTAATTGGAATACCTAATTGGATGTCAGTATTTGGATAAATGTTTGTATGAGGGGGGAGGGACATTTGTAATGGCCCACTGCATGCTCTGTACTCTGTAGATAATCTGGCGGTACCAAAGGTCACAGATCCTTGGACCAAATTTTTATGCAAGCTTGCATCACAAGTCTGCTATTTTCGAACATGCGTATCAAGCGTAATATGTGGATTGGCCATATCACATACTCAGGCTACGTGACATTGGTTGTTCATGGGTTATACTGCCAATAAAGTTAAACTGGATAAATATAGTTTATTTGTAATATGTGATGCATGGAATGCTGCTGGATTATGTTGCAACTTACGAGCTTTTGTTATTCTAGGATGGTTTGAACCCTGACTTATGACCGTTGACTAAAATTTGCTCTGATCATATAGTTTTAATGCAATGAAGGAGACTCTGGGACATTAATCGGCACTTTGTCCAGTCGGGCAACGAAAGGAATGGTCATTGATTAGTGGTCAATGGAAGGCACCTGCCAGTAAGGTGATGGCGGTAAACTTAAAGCCTCTATTTTGTTGCAGGTATCACGTGGAATATACGAGGTATTCCCTGTATGCAGCTCTGTCAGTGTAGTCGTCATCCCGCACGTTTATGTTCCTCACACAATGTGCTCACTGCTCATTTTCATAGTGGTATTCCAATGCCATTTCTTATTCCTTTTCCTTCTTATGTGTATGACTAGTGGAAAACACATGCACATGTGCGTGTGCATTACATGTTGTGTCGCTAGACCCGTTGTGCGCAACTATTCTGACATTTAGTTACTCTCTCAATGAACAACGTTTAACCCTCGCACGACCAGGCCATTTCTCATAACACGAACGACCAGGGGGGGGGGGTTGTTACGACCCCCCCTGGCGTTTCGAAACGGAAGGTCGTAGAGCTTAGCGGAAAAAACCAACGGATTGCTCTCAACGAGATCTCGCGATTGGTGGTAATTTTTTGGTCCTAGGTCAACATTTGACCTACTTTTGACCGGTCAAAGGTCAAATTTTCGGAAAAATAGACTTTTTTTTCAACTTTCGGCGGCGATTGCGGCAAAACGGTGGGAGATATCGACTTGAAACCTTCACTATCGTGTTCCTTGATCAATTCTCTATCGTTTGGTATGTATTTCGTTTCCCTAGCTCTAAAAATGGCGCGTTGGGAGCGCCGGAAGTCGGCAAGGTCACAGTCGGCGGCAGAAATTCGAAAAATCAAAATTTAAATTTTTGAAATCTGATTGTATTTTTGGATTTGGGAGGTCCATTGCTCCCTATAGAAGCTAATATTGCTGCATATTCCCATTGAGGTGACAAGAATTAGCAAAATAGTGGTTCGGGCGCTTTTCAAAAATAGTACCGGACGCTGTTCCTCTTGTGACGTCATAGCTCCGTGACCTGACCTGACCCGGTCAAATTTCTTATACCATATGATAGCCAATACTTGCCCCAACATGCATGGGAAGTTTCATCACGATCCATCAACCGATGTCCGTACCACCGGCAGGAAACCTCGGGCGTTGGCACTCAGTTTGTGAAAATCCGGCCGGAGGCTGTACCTCTTATGACGTCATAACTCCGTGACCTGACATGACCCGATCAATTTTTTTTCGGCAAAAGATGCGCAAAGGTTGCCCCAGAGGGTATTGAAAATTTCAGCCCGCTACAACAAGCCGTTTAGCGTGCACTTCGAAAAAACCTCAGGGGGGGGGGTTGATACAACCCCCCCCCCCTAGGCGTTCTAGGGTTAAGTTGGCAACGTTTTGTTCTCGTTCCCGAGATGCGCTCTCTGAACGCGGCCCCGCCAAGAGCGGACGTTACCTGCATCTGAAAAACTGATCTTTCTGATAAAAAGCTGATCTCAACTTCATGTAGACAAATCAAGTAAGACCCTGGTACCGTAAGAGCAGTGCGACTACGAGCCCAGTGGATAGAGCCTGACCGGCCGCCGTTTGGTGTTTGGGTCGGCTGACTGGTCGGCTGTGTATGTGACACCCGCTGTGTGCCGGCCAGTGTGCGTGCCGCCGCCGTTTGGTGTTTGGGTCGGCTGTGTGTGTGACGCCCGCTGTGTGCCGGCCAGTGTGCGTGCCGCCGCCGCCGCCCGAGGCCACCTGGTCGGAGCCGAGCGGGCCGCCACCACGTGACCCGGTGCACGTGGGCGGCGAGCTGAGCGAGCAGCAGGCGCGCGCCGCGCTGCTGTCACGTGACCGACCACTGCTGCTACGGCCGCGGCGCGGCGCGACACATGAACATCGCCAAAATCAACTACAGCTCGGCCCACCACGTGAGAGCGACATACAGCGCGGCGGCGCGGCGTCCCCTCCTGAAACACGCATCGGCATGGAGTCTGTGTGCCAGGCCAGGCCACATTAAAAAGCTTTGTCTCAGTGTTTGTGTTTTCCTGATGTAGCGGACACAGTAACAATAACAACTAATTTCCTAGCAGTTAGCACACATTCTATGTCGCATGCAACGACTGCAGTTAATGTTGGCTGTGTTGCTTGTTGGCAGGAGTCTCGCTGGCTGTTATTCACACCCAGCATTTTTAACACGCGCAGTGGAAGGGGGGGCGGATTTCGCCCACCCTCCTGTTTTTCGCCAATAACTCGCGCCGCAAGCATAATATCAATGTGAAATTTTGGCTACCTGTCCAGAATTGAATTGCGGATCTTCTCGTACAAGAAGTAAGAAAATCGGTTCACAACTTTTCTAGTAATAGCGGTGTAAAGTCAAACATCCTGCCGCCGCGGCGGCGCGGCAGCGCGGCGGCCGGCGCTAGCCGTTACGCGCCGCCTGAATTGTAGACTGTGCCGGGGCGGGACGGTTCCGTCTTTACATCGCGCTCCTTACCGCTGATTAAATTAGATTCGCGTCAAATTCAGTGAGAAGACTGAGAAATGTACAGGCAATCATATGGTTAAAGAATTTTGAAAATCGGCCGGTAACAACTTGAGTTATGAGTGTGTAAACACAAAATTGTGATTGCCGCGTTTCCCGCGTCGGCCGATGCCGCTTCAGCCGGCGACATCTTACCCTTAGCAGGCTTCTAACTGCCATATTTATTGTTGGATTATCTAGAAATTCACCATACATACTCACAAATGTTTTGTCTTTCGTATAGTGAAAGATTTAAAAAAATCGGCCGGTAACTTTTTGAGTTATCGGCGTGTAAACGCAAAAAAGTCGCTAATATGGCAGATTTGACCACATTTGACCTCATTTGACCTTGAAGATATTGACCTAGGGTCATGAAATTCACACACAACAGAGTTCCCCATGGCCCCCACCTACCCTCCAAATTTCGTCCTTCTAGCTCCACTGGGAGCTGAGATCTTAGGGGGGGCGACATCCGCCCCCCCCCCCTTCCACTGGGCGTAGTACTCGCAACCCTTCCACTGCGCGTGTTAAACAAATGTACCCATATGTTACAAAACTCATTTAAATGATTGCATGTCGGAAATAGTTTGATTTGCTTTCTGCGTTACTGATTGCCGTCATTCTAAGCACATTTTCCTTAAATTTAGGATCGTATACTCGTAATTATACTTATCCGTGCAGATAAGAATGAGTTAAAATTAATAAGTGGTCTGCGATAAATTAAGCTTACCATTACAGCAGCGTAATGCATTGCAAGTGCATGTGTTTGATGATAACCGTTAAAGTTACAATTGCCTTGCAGTTATAATCCACTTAACGCATCTCAGGACTTCGTTAATTAATGCATCGAAACAAGTTAAAACTTCATAGCTGATTTAGTTCAGAAATCGCCTCTCCCCACACCCGGCTGGGCGGCTGGCGCCCGGCCGACCTCAGTGGCGCACAGTGACGCGCCCGCCGTCGGCGCCGGTTTCAGTACGAGCTGCAGACGTTCACCGAGAAGCGTGAGACGTCGTGGACGTTCGTGCCGTACTCTGGCGGCGGGTGGACAGCCCCAGCTGCGGAGAGGCGCCCGAGCCGTGGAGCGTGCCTGCCGAGCCCGGTGAGCCACCAGACCGGGCGCACACGCCCATCACATGCAACCAATTATACATAAAGTTAACCGCTTTGTTTTGCTCAATTTGCATTTAAGGACATAACCGCAGGCTGTTTGAAAAGACGAGCACTATCCGTTAGAATTGTTTTTCCATCGATAACCGAAGAAGGTTCGTTGTCAATAGTTAAAATACTATTCGTTAGAATTGTGTTTTTCTATTTTAAAACAAATCTGAGGTCCCTGACAATTTGGCAAAAGCTGCCTGAGTATACAACTGAAAGTTTTTGCAATTGGAATTCGTTGAAATTTGAGTGATACAATCGTTCCGTATGACGATTCTTGACCGCCTATCATTGACATGCGTTGTTGCAGTGATTGAACAACTTCTTTTGAATATACTATTGAATGTATACATTTGTACACTTTTGAATGTACACATATTTATGTACACTCTCCCATTTCTTCCATACGATATTGGAGGACTTACCATTTACTTACGAACCTGCTCACTTACCATGTCCAATGTGTTCCAGCCCAGTTGTTCCATGACGAGGTGAAGGTCATGGAAGTACCTCACACCGCCTCGGCCAAGGACTGTCATCGGTGCAAGGGCCAGGGCAGCCTCAGCTGTGCAGAATGCCACGGGAAAGGATGGGTGAGTGCCATGGGATCTTAGGTATCGTATTATATAGGCATCGTCAGGCCCATGTCACTTGAGCGAACCATTTTCGGCTGCTGTCATTTCAGCGATTATCAAATATAGCGATTATTGTTCGTTTTTTTTCAGTTCGACCCTCACTGTTAACGTCACTTTGAACACAGCACGAGAATTGCTGTCTGAATTTCTGAGAAAACTGCAGTTGTCGCACATTTATTTCACAGACGATGCTTTATCAAAATTATTTCTGCCTGTATCCTATTTCCCAGACTCGCAGCTCGTATCTGCATATGTTTATAACTCTACGGGGATAGACGACACGTCAGGAAATAATTGAAATGATTAATCCTCGCCCTGGCATGGGGGGTCGATGCGAGCCCCCCCCCCCCCCTAAGGTTTTATATCCTTTCAAAATCACATTTTGTCGACGCATACCTCTACTTTGGACGATATTTTTGATTGACAAAAGGCAGACGTTATCTTCTGCGCCAGAACCTACTTTTAGCTCTGCATATTATCCCGCGCCCCAGTGGCGGTCGCAGCCAGCTTCGCCCTAGTGTGGGGGGGGGGGGGGGGCATATGTTACCACCAACCTCTAACTCAAAAACTAAGAGGGCTAGAAAGACGCGGTAAAAAGCAGTCGATAGCTCTTATGCGTAGGTACGTTTGGAAGTATTTCGGTCATTTTCATCTTAGAGCAATATTGGGGTCACCAGAGGTCATCAAAGGTCAAAATTTGCCAATTGTCATTAGATTTTTCAGAAAACATGCCGTTATCTCAGGAACTATGATAGCTAGAAAAACGCATGGAAAAGCAATCGATAGCTTTTGAACTCTTCTTTTGATAAGGTCATAATCAAAATTGACCTCAGGTCAACGGTATAGGCTTCAGAAGGAAAAAACTCCAAAAATAGCTGTTTTTACGAAAAGTGTTTTTCGACAATAACTTTCGACTACAAAAAGCTACGACATTTCTATTGCCAGAGTCGTGTTCCTCTCGCAAAGACGCGTCGAATGAATTATAATTTGACATTGAAAGGTCAACTTGAAAATTTGACCTCGGGTCAAGGTCATGACCTGACCGGAAAAGGTCATGTTGTATATCAGTCGATGCGTCTCAACAAGACAAACACAATGAGACCATCCCCAGCGTTCTATCTCTTTCCAATCGCGAGTTATTGGCAAAAATCTGTTTGTAGCCTCAAATGACCTCGGATGACCTTTCTAGAGGCTATCAGCTAAAATGACACCTAAGTCATCAGGGTGGTCCAAAACATTGTGATTCTGAAATATTTGGACTGTTCCTATGCATACACACGGATCTAGAGGCATTTTCATTTTTCTCCATTGACTTGTAATGGAAAGGTCACGCCACTGACCTGACTTTAGGTCACGGATATACATACAAATTGTAGGCGCCCATAACAACATGCAATCCACCAAATTTAAAACCTTTCTGACAAACACTGCAGGCTGGAGTGGACATGATTGCAAACTTTTTTAGGCTTGGTCAGTTAACTTGACCTGGTGACCTGACCTGACATGACCTGGGGTAAAAAATTTCACACATTGTCCAAAATTAATGTACCAAAAGCAACCCCAAGCGGCGCGGCGCTACGCGCCGCGGTTTTTATTCACACGCAAAAAACGCGACAGGGTGGTAACATATGCCCCCCCCACACTGGGGCGAAAGTTATTTGAAAAGAATATTTGCAATGCAAGGCATTGGAACGCGCAGTCATTTTAGGCCAGATAGACATCCAATATGAACTTAACTTTCATCATGTGAACTTAAAGAGCAATGTCCGAAGCCGGAGCCGGAGTCTCAGTCGAAGTCGAAGTCACAAAAAAATCCTTTGAATCCGCAGCTCTGCACTCCTCCCATCACGGCGCATACAGGGTGTTTCTGAAAACACTGACAAATTCATTTCTCCTATACCTTTCGTGTTTATTGACGCACACACGTCTTCATAGGCTGTAACTAGTCACCATTGAAAATTCGCATCCATCGCCAATGATCACTATTTGACCCCCTTCCGGGAACCTAGAGCTGGTGCTCGAAGTGACCACCACTTCAGCTCGGGGATGTCTCGGGGTTCATTCTTGTAGGCTCTTTCCTTGACATGACCCCAGAGGTTGTGTCAAGGATGACCTCTGGGGTCATCCTTGACATGACATGTCCGCCGGCGTGAGGTCCGAAGACCTCGGTGGCCACCTGGTGGGGGTGCCTCGGGAGATGAGCCGCCCCCCCCCCCCGAGGCGCTCCTGCAGCCACTGTAGGGTCACAGTGGCTGCATGCAAGGCCATCTATAGAAGGTACAGTCACTCCCCCGCCGACCAATCAGAGACAGATCCTGAGTGACGTCACCCCTGATGCTCGAAAGGGTACTCCATTCCTTTACAACGTAAAAATGACTAACTTCATTTGAAGATTGTTGGTGACACTTTACACACATCGCTCAACCATTGATGTCATTGGACAGTCCAACTAATTTTCTAGCGATAAAAAAGAGCAGCAATATGCTAAGAAATGGCCGGTTTTGAAAATATAGACGATTTAAAACCCTCTGCAGTTGCAGGAAAGCAACGTAAAAACGCATCGAGCTTATATTTTTACTATGAAAAATCATTTTTCAGTAAGTTTTTAGATATGGTATCGATTTATTCAACAACTTCATTACAATATTTTTATTACTTGGAACTTTATTTCAAAATAATATTTTCAAAAATGGCAACTGTTGGCAAGTAGCTTTGAAGCGATTGTGGCGCGCCGCGCCTATTGTCCTGAGGCCCCCATATGATGTCATCAAAAGTGGAGTGACATGGGCCTGGCAGCATGAGCTGGGGCACCATCCTCCTGCAGCACTGCTCGTTGATGGTGTCCACACACTTCCTCTGGAGCGCAGTCAGAACTCCTTGAGCCTGCAGATATCGCTCCGCGGCACTGTGAGGACCTCGCTCGCGTCATCTTCGATTCAGATTGGGCCGATAATGCCCGTGCTGCTCACATGCACCACGCAGTGCATTGGGGGGGTGCAGCTGACGTTAGGCGATCTCGTCTTGGGCCTTATCTCTCCAGATCCGGTTGTTCCGGGAGTTGACCCTGCCGTCAAGGTAAAAATGGGCTTTGTCTGCAAACAAAACGCGCTCCAGAAATCCCCCTGTTTCTCTGCACTTCTGTAAAAAAGAACATTCGCAGAATGCAGAACGAGCGATCTTGTCGGCTTCCGTCAGCTTGTTTGCTTCTACACGCTTCCTTGCTTCCGTCGTCACAGCAAGCGTGTATGGGTATAGCTGAAGTTCCTTTTGAGGATCCTTTGCGCTGTGGAGCTGCTGACCCTGCTTCTTGCCCGAGACGTCGGTGGACTTTTTGTGAGTCATTTTTATCGAGCGCGCAGATTGTTCGATTTTTTTCCTGCCGTTCTGATCCATCTTCTTCCCGAAAACGACTTCTGGAGGTTGCTAACTTTTCCTACTCGGATATATTATCCAGTTAGAGGAAGGATAGTGTTCCTGGAAGGCGCAGTTCCAACTTACAAATGAGCCCAAAAGCGCCTGTGTCAAAACAACTGATCTGGTTTCGAAGTAGAATTGCGCTATGTTAGCCTTTTCCAAGACTATGTAAACCAGGTAGAACGCTCCCGACGAAAAACTGGGGACAAGAATGAATTTAGTAACCGCGACTCTGGGGACCAAACAAACTCAGGTTGCCATGGTAACGGGGCAAGTTTGGCATGAGTACGCATCTAATAACTCATTTTTCAACGAATTGTTTTAGAAAAAAGCATAAGGACTTGTTAGAACACTACAAGAATGAATTGTAGTTTTCGTAACCAACCCGAGTTTTTATCAGACTAGCCTAAATAATATCAAGATCAAGTCCTAAACTGAACGGCTCGTGCTGCTATAGGTTTCCTCTAACGCTCAGGCCCCCAAAATCGTCACTGGCTTTCAGCCAATGAGCGTCGAGTATTCCCGTACGCTGATTGGGTGGGATTACTGCAGTTGTTGTTTAGAATGTTTACGGTGCTGACAGCGCTAGCGGAGGTCTTCACTTTTCGTGATGTTAACCCGCGCACCGACGCGACGGGGGTCTGCGCCAACTTCGTACCGACGGGGGTGGGCGGATGACCGCCCCCCCCCCTGAGATCTTGAGAACGAAGCAAGATAGCGACAAGCGGTAAACGGCATCGGATACGCACGGACAAGGTCTACAATTTTTACAAAGGTCATTTTTAGGTCAAGTCAAAGATGACGTCACAGGGGCCAAAAAGTCCAAATGGCGGCGCTAGATATGGCGAGTTTTTCTCGAATAACTTTCGAATTAGTCAAGATAGGAACAAACAAAGTGCATAATCGTGATCCTCTCGTCGATCCGCATCAAATGATATATATGTTGACCTCGAAAGGTCAAGGTCAAAGGTTGACCTCAGGTCACATGACTTCGAGGTCATCATGTATCATTCGATGCGCCTTGACGAGCTGAACACAATGAGACCATCCGCGTGACTGTATTGTTCCTGTACGGAGTTATTGGCAAAAAACCTTTGGTGACCTTTGATGACGTCACATGACCTTACAGCTGCCCAACAGCAAAACGATCTCAAGCCTGAAGGTTGATCGTATATGAACTCATGTATGGTATATGGGGCCATTCCGACCCCTTTTAGTGGTAAAAACAGCGAGTTGATTTTTCCCCCATTGACTTATAATGGGGAGGTCGAGAAATTAACCTGACCTTAGGTCATCGATATCAAAATTTCGAGA